TCAGCTTTTTACTCGTTACGGTGGCCAATTGTGACAATTTCAACTTAGTTGATATAACCAAATTACCTTGTTACCCCCACCGACGCAGCACCACAGTTTCTTTAGAAAAACGACTTTCTGCCAATTTCCACCACTAGTCACCTCCAATTCGGTAAAGAGATGTTGTTTAAAAAAAAAAAAATTCAATTCGCCGGTTGAGAAAGTCTAATATCATTTAAGCTCCTTGCAAAGGAGCATTGCCTTACTTCCCCCAATGAGCGCCCTTCACCTTAAACGCAAAGTCACGGCGAGCGCATCCCCTTCCCCTCCCCTCTCACTTCCTTACTAGAAGAGATACAGGAAAAACCTGTTTCTTTAATTTCGCAACCTTCCCTATAACTTCCAAGCCTCAACTGCAACGGAATCAATACAGGATAATGTTTTTTTTCATCATGTTACTTCCAGTTGTTTCTATCTGCATGTGTTTGAAGAGTTTATTTATGTTCAGTCGTCAGGGGCGTAGCAAGTCGTTTTTGGCTTTTAACCTGTTCCATGCCTGGTAAGTATAGTGCGGGATAATATTCCAAGAAAAATAAATATTCCAAGAAAAGTTTGTAAGCCCGGGCTCACTGGCTTAAAGGGAGCTACGCGCCTGTTCATTATCTGTTCTTTAATTAAATTTTTTCCTTTAGTTACAGGATAGAACAGCGCCCCTTCTTTTAGCTGGGAGCTTTGTCGAGGAAATACGGTATTCATGGTGGCTGGGAACAGTTTTCCAAGACACCTACCGACCACATTCACAGCGGTCTAAAACCAACTTTCCCTCTTCGCAGTCAGATCAGTTTCACACGTTTCAACCAAAGGATTGATGTTCGCTTTTATGAAATCGTTAAATTTTTCGGGGACGATCTTGGAAATTCCTCGATAGATTTTCTCACAACTACAGGATTCAAGTCTGAAATCACAGGCATTTATCTTTCGTGCGTATCAACATGTGCAGTCAACAAGGACTCATCAGTACAACTCGACATGATATCATCAAAATTTTTATTTTCCTTGTAAATTTTTAAAGCTTAAGCCATAACCTCTCGTAAACATTGACTACGATCACATAAAGACTCTTGAGAGTTGAATTTATTCTGCGACCAGGCTCTCATTGTAAGCACTTCTGCAGGAGTGTTTGTTTGCGGGAAAGCAAGAGGCCTTGAACAACGAGAGCCGGCTATAGGTATGCGAGGGGTCTGGCACTGATTATGATTAGTCCCTCAAATGCGGGAAAATCGCGCGCTGTGTGAGGACCTGGTTGCAGGCTAAGTTGAAATGTTGTTCATATTTTCTTGTAAGCGAACACTTCATGATCATATAATCAGTTCTCCTGATTTACTGTGAACTTCTGTAGTCATAAATCTCTTAGGGTGATATTTTTGGTGGTTGCCCACAGGATGTTTGACTGCGTTTACTACCATCACGCTTTTTTAAAATGGCCTACATTTTTTCTGTTATCTTTACGATCACTTAATTGAAACTCTTTGAGATTTTTACGCGAAATTCATCATGTTATTACAAATTTGTGGAAACGACCACTGATTTATTTTGGTACTGATCAAATCTTAACAATCAAAAGAAGAAAAATAGACGCCGAATTTACACGGTACAATTGTTTCCTTTTGTTTTCCTGTCGTCATGAAAAATCGTATGCCATATTTATGATTGAACATTTTTGTGTGTGCCTACGATGAAAACAAAAAAATACTTTATCTGTCACAGGGGATGAAATATGTTTGAAATCCATTCACCCACGTTATATTCGTGCTGTGTATACTCTGTCGAAGATTTGTCTCAGTTACGAATTCGAGTACATGTCGTATATATGTAGATCGCGTATCGCAAATTAAACAAAATCGCATCGTGTAAATCGGCCTTTTCACTTATCATTCTACGGCTAATTATCTATGGACATCTGGCTTCACAGCACATGATCCTTCCACTCTCATGGTTGGCCGTCACTTCGCAGATATTTACTTTCTGTACGCTGTTTTGCTTGCATTTCAGGTAATAAACGCAATGGTGAGTGGTAAATTTGCATCGCAGTTTCCAATCCGTCCACGCGCATCCACTAGGTGGGGTTCGGCCACACAAATCATATTCATCAAATTCTATGGTGGTTTGGCGTTTGACCCTTTCTGTGAAGACGGAAATACAGTTGTTTAAAGTACTTAAATAGCTGGAGAACATTTATTCGACAAGGCCGAGATATATTCCAGAGGGAACAGACCAATAAAAAATTTTTAACATTAGAATTGGGGCCCTGCTGGTCTAGTGGTGTGCTTTAAAAGTACGGGTTACTTCAATAACTTACTTTCCAGTTGATTCCCCACAACAGTAACTGAGTCAGGTGTGTACTCCATTAAGCGGTAGACTGGGTACTGGGCACAGAAATCTCTCACTTCCTCCCGCAGAGTCGTCTTGTCGACTTTCCCCACAATCACCCACCTGTGACTCACTGTTGTGATGTCATGATTCGCGGAAAGACTGGCCATCTATAAAGAAGAAGATTTACACAAAATTTACAATTAATCGAGTGTGCTTTTAAGAGATAGTCGTGCTCTGACAGATCTAAGATTCTGTCAAATGTTGCTACAATAGCCGACGCGACGTAACTTCCGGCGGGTCGTAAAACCCCCAGACATGGTTGCTAATGCCGGTTGAATGTTGGACAATTTCATTCGTAAGCTTTAGCCAGACCTCTAATGAGGAGTTTGGCTGTCAAATTAACATAACTGCATAGCCAAACTTATTCCATCTGTTCACACGGTGTTTGTAGAATATTACGATTAACATTCGCAAGGGGTTCTACCGCAGTAAAAAACAAAATAAAACAAAACAAAAACAAAACAAAGCAAAGGAGAAAGATTGCGACTTATCCGCTCAGATGACTGCAATCGACAATGTAACGAACTGCAGTGGTAAAAGTTTCCAGTAGATATTAACTTGTTACCTGTCTTACTGCAGATTTCATGGCGTTTGGATTTGGCAGATCTGTCGGTAAAGGGCTGAGATAACAAACGCCACCATCTTGAAAGCGAGTGAGTGTTATATTCTATATAAAGTGAAAATAGGTTATCAACAAGTGACATTGAAATTAGTCTGGTACAGTGTGGACACAAGTGATTTGAATGTTACTAAAATAAGGAAAAGAGAATGAGGAATGGGAAATTGAAATGGGAATAAAAAAATATTCTGGATTAGTTGCTTATAATGGGGAATAGATACTATTCAGCGGTGATTATCGATATCAGCACCTCTTTGTAACGCTTTGCAGCAATTAAAACAAAGGAACGGTATAAGTCATGATAATAAAACTTATTTCTATTAATAAAGTGGAATCCCGATTTCTCGAACCTCCAGGGGAAACGCAAGTTGGTTCGAGAAATCGGGAGTTCAAGAGTTCGAAGGTGAAATTACAAGTGAAGCAAATCGAAGGGAAACAAAGTTTGGTTCGAGATATCGGAAGGTTCGAGAAACCGAGGGTTCGAGAAATCGGAATTCCACTGACAATTTTTTAAAACAGCTTAACAGCTTTATTGGGTATGACTCATAGAAGTCGTAGACCCAACAGGCTTGGTGCGAATGGAACACAAGGACCCATGCGAGGCACCACCCTTCAGAGAGACACTTTGAGAGTAAAGTGTCTTGCCCAAGAACACAACACAACTCGGAGAGGTCTCGAACCCAGACCTCTCGATCCGGAGTCCGGTGCACTATCCACTAGGCCACTGCGCCTTCCGTTAATTAAATATTTGAGTAGAAATTATTGAGTTGCAAATGCATTTATAATTAAAAACGATTTGCTAATTACATATCTATTTGCGGTCTGTTTGAAGACAATCTTACCATTCGAAAATCGTACAAGAAATCAGCGGCAAGAACGTCATTATGCGCCGGTACTGAAAAGTATTCGATGTCGTTTGCTTCATCGATTTCGATTCGTTCATTAAAGCTTGCTTGTTTTTCAGTGATGTGAAGATTGAAGTTTTCATTCTCTGCCCCGAGCCTTGGATTGGGGTCTTGAATCTATCAATAGAGACATATTGTAAGACAGTTAAAAAAGATTTAAAAGAATTAACTGAATCATGTTGCTTATTTCATTTACGTTGCTAAACCTCTATGAATTCTGTTCTTCGAGTACTGGTGGTGAGTTTGACCATGAATAATCGCAGCGTAGAGGACAATTATAAAGCAGCTTTTAAAACTAACAAGCTTGCTGTTATCAAATTCCGGCATATGTTTGTTAATCCATGTGTGCTTCACGGCTTGTGACTAGATGAATATGGTTGCTCGCTCAGACCATGAAAAGACCACGACTTTTTAAAAACAAGTATTAGAAAACTCACCACTGCAGCTTTCATCTGACCGCTAGAGGCCAACAGAACTAGTAAGGCCGCTATTATGGGAGAGGATGCCTACGAACAAAACAAAAGTCGGACACTTTTTGGATAATTATCACAAGATCAGTCTTGACCCCACCGAGTAAATTAAGAATCAATCATCCTTTACAAACAAATTGGTGATCTTGAGGGGTGAGGAGCAAGGGGTAAGGTTCATTGCATGCTTTAGTGATAACTAAGGATTAGTTTCACACTCTCATAAAAAGTGATTTAACATTTGAAATCACACAAAATCAAATTAAACAATAATGTTACCCATACTGACTTACCATGGCTCGTGGTTCTAACTCCTTATCAAGTACACCTCAGGTAGGTTAGATCTGGTGTGAAAAGATCTGCCTGTTGCGTCGATTTATATTCCCTCGAAGGGCCGAAAAAAGCAGGATTATTTTCATAGGCCGCCCTGATTTGACAGTTTGTTCCTGTAGTCCTTAAGCGTTCCCCGCATTCTCACTTACGTCAGACGTTTTTCCACTGGAAACTCGTAAAAGGACAACTAAACCTTTTAATAGTGGAATGTAGACGTTGTTGCTGAATCGGCACGTTCCACTATGGTTCCTGAATCAAAGAAGCCGAATGACAATTGCCGATCACTGAAGAGGAAGTAATTTATTTCATTTTCTTTTGTTTGAACAAATCGCCGGGGTAAATTACCTTCCTTGTTTTTGTCATTTTCAAGACTCAACGGCATCTTAGAGGTCAAATTTTGAAAGTGCAAGGACAATTACTGAAAACCAATGACACTGATGATCAAAAACTGGAACTAAACCACTAGTAAACTGATGAAAAGAAGAAGAAGCTGAAATAAAGCTAAGTTCATGAGTAAGGTGTGGCCCCCAAACACATAACATAATCGCACATGCATGTAACGTCCTACTTAAAAGCGTCATGCATGAAACACCTTAGTCAGACCTTGCGAATAAGCTTGCTTCATACTGAATGTTAAGCTTTAAAATAGAAATATCATTTACGTTAAGCATATAAACAAGCTTATCTGACAACTCTTTCAAGAAGATTTGGCGGAAACTTTGAAAAAATGTTGGGGCGATGTTTGAGGGAATACAGCAAATACGGTACTCGATACTCACTTCTGAAACCGTTCCTCTTCAGCGCTACAGGAGGTGACTGATACAGCGTTTCTGAGAAGCTTTAAAGAGGATCTCAACGGGGAGTCACGTTGACGGTTGACGGTTAAAAATAAGCCCTTTTGACGGTTCAAGGTTAAATTTTAGTTCATTTGATGGTTGACGGTTAAATTTTGGGAATGTCGTTTAGAAAACGAACTAAATGCGCGAATTTGGCGTTTGTAGAGAACTGTTAATTTATAACACCTCTCCTTACTAAAAGACTAACGTTTTACGATACCGGAAGTGTTTCCACACCAGAAGTCAGTTCTGACGCTAAACAGTTTTACTCGTGACAAGTGGGTAAATGATTTATATAAATGTATATTTGTAAAAAAAACTTTTATTTATAAACAACAGAACTTGACCCCAATTAAGGCAATCGTTTAGTTCTTAATTAAGGATATTTGAGACATTTGACGGCTACCAGGCATTGGCTTGCTTATTGGACGGTTGACGGTAAAAATATTGCGTTTTTGACTGTTGACGGTTTATATTTTGGCCATTTGACGGTTGACGGTCAACCCCATTGCGACCCTCTCGTAACCAAAAGTTAGAACAACATACCTGAAATTGACGGCTCAAGATGCTTTCAAAAAGAAATAAGATCACAGCAGAACGTGATCAAAACAAAATCAGAGAGTAAAGTCACGATCAGCATTACAACTTCTTACGCATGAAACTGAAAACGTGATGCAAACTTAGCATTATTTTTAAGTATTAGGATTGTCATAATCCTGTAATAGATTGATCAGGAGAGGTTCCACTGTCTATTTCTCTTAAGTTAAGAGAAATAGACAGTGGAACCTCTCCTAGTACATATCTTTATTCAAGAGACAAAATTTGCATGGTCCTTCCTGACTAAGAAAATCTTCTTGTAACTATTATGAAAGCCTAAATTTTTGTAGTAAAGTTGAGGCCTGGACGTAAAAACCTTAATGGCGAAGGCAAATTTTAGTTAAACAAACCTGATGGATATCGGTGGCGTATAAGTTTGTCTGCGTATGAATCCTGACTACACATGCCGGTCTTTGTCATTCAGTGGTGACTGTCATTTCTTCGTTTGAAGAAGTTACTTTGACGTGAGCTTTTCCACTAAAATTCCCAATTTGGGGGACGAATTTCTCAGGTATGAAATTGACATCAACAACACCGGTCAGCACTTGGCCTGTGGGAAGCTGTGTCAGCATATTCCCCACAGAGTGGTGAGCAAACTTTTTTTCATCTCATTTCTCCAATAATTATATGTAATCGAGTCAAATTATTGAGAGTTTGATGGGAACTAGAAAAGGGGAGAATACGGATTTGGCAGTGTTCCACTCGCGACAATCTCGACTGAGTATAATTATTGTAAAGACGAAGTTCATATATTAAAAAAAGAGATTTTGAGCCTTTCATTAATTTCGCGATAACTTTTACAGTCTGTGAACGTCGTTGAAAATCCCAATATCCAGTCACAAGGTTGAACCCAAGCAAGATGGTCTCAATGGGGTTAACCGTTGGCAGTAAAACGGCAAAGACTTAGCCATTGGCTTAAAAATTTACCAGTTTTAACTATTAGCCGTAGCCTAGGCAGTTAGCCGCAGCCGCAGCCGCAGCCGCAGCCGCAGTCGTAACCGTAGCCGTAGCCGAGGCCGTAGTCATTACCGTGAAAGCCATTACCCCATTTAGACCCTCAAACAAGCGAAGGCAAAAATTGATCCCAGAGAGGCATACATACCTCACCAGAAATAACTCTATTCCCCAAATAAACACCCTCCTCTAGAATTACCGCCCCCTCCCCTCCCCTGTTAATCCGTAAACGACGATTCTGGGAAATATAGGAAGCTCATAAGGTTGAAAAGTTCCTCTTCAGCGCGGCGGGATCTATCGAACGTTTCTGAGAAACGTTCGTGATCAATATGTTTACAGAGGAACGTGATCATAAATAAAACAGGAACTACTGCTACAGTCAGCACTGAAGAGGGGTTTATGACTCATGCGGCTGAGAACGTGACTGAAACATCAACAGAAGGAGTTTCTAACAAAATCACAATTGACATGGTGAGTTTCCGCTTCAGTGTTACAGGACTTTTCAAGCGGGCTTAGATTGGAAAAGATGAATAATTTGGTCATAATTAAGCATTAAGACTAATTTATTTCGAAATTTTATTACATGTAGCATATCTTTTACGAAATATCATCGTTTTTACGGTTCAACCAATTTTCCAACTAAGGTCTCCATGGTTTGATCATTAAATTATTTATATTCGCAAAGCTAATTATATATTCAGGTCACGTACGACGGGCACAAGTTAAGTTTAGGTAATCATCAAGACCGCGCTGTGCTTTCCATTTCATATTTATCCCAATATATTTCTAAACCTCTGAAGATCGTCGGATTGGGAAGGAGCTGTTGTAATTTCCATCCTGCGGTATTTGTCGCCCGATTTTTTTTAAACGAATCGTTTGTCGCGTAGAAGTAAAACCTTTTCTTCGTCACCAGGATCCTAGATCCCAGATCCACCAGTCGAGCCATTCGAATTAAGCAGAGGATGTGAAAAGCCACGAATTGCGACGACGAGCAGCGATGGCGTTCTATTTTTCTCCTGTCACTGGGTTTTTCACAATTGTCCTGTTGATAACATTCTATTGTGGACGCGAAATTACTGCCAAAGAGATCTTCACCAATTCGTGGGCAGTTGAAGTTCATGGTCAGCGAGTGGCTAAAGAGATAGCACTGAAACACGGTCTTATATACGATAAACATGTAAGTTATTTTCCAGTCATTTCATGAAGCATACTACCTTTAAAAGAAGCTAATACTAGTACTTTCTCTTGATACCATTTATGTGATGTCATTTATATGGTGGTTCTTGGTTATATGAACTAAGTTGAAGTTGTAAATTGGCCACCGTAACGAGTTAAAAAGCTGACGTTTCAGGCGTTAGGCCTTCGTCAGAGCGAATTTAGGTGACTTTCAGCTAAAATTGTGTGGCTATTCAATGGAAAATATTGACGCTTGAAACTAGGCGAACGTTTCTTCATACAGTGAGGCCCTTTTAGGGGGGTATAGATGTCGCCCGTCTGAATTTCAACTTTGTCACGTCGCCGTTTCGGAAGGCTCTGATGTCGCTGTCACAATTTCATCAATGTCGTGCTCGAAGTCGCGTTTTCATTTCCCCGATGTCGCTGTTTCAATGCCATGTCGCCCGTCGGAATTTACTCTCTTGGGGCCTACAGTTGCCATTTGTATTTTGTAGCTGCCAAACACCTGCACCTTACGCTTCTTTCGACTATCATGCCAAGACATCAATTGGTTCGAAAGAAACTCTCTAGCACTTGAGCTTATTCGTAGGCTTATCTTTCTTACCTTACGCGAACATAATCGTGAACAAGAGGAAAGTAAAAAAAAGAGAGTTATTTAGAGGACTATTACATGACTTGAAATCGGTAGAAAAAAATAGAGGCTGACACTAACCTTTGTTCTGATTGTTTTGATTACTACCTTAATAAGAAAGAAAATTGAATTAGGTTCTTTTTCAGGTTGCCCTGTCTGTCGGAGATCACAGTCAGTGTTTACACTATTTCAGATCTGTGTCCTAGTTATTCTTTGGGAAAAGGTGATCTAGACATCTAGCCTGACCAACCAAACTTAACACAATTTATCTTTTCAGCTTTTTCAGGACTATCATGTCTTCACACATCCTAGATTAGAAAAACGGTCAGAAAAGACACAAATATCTTTACAGGCTGATGCAAAGTTACAGTCAGAGCCAAAGGTAGGAGATATTTATTGTATTATGCTTTGTTACTTTGAAATCCCAGTTAATTGTTTGATAAAGAGGGCTGGAAGAAAATACAACAGTCATGCTAGGACAGTCCAGGGGCAAGCATCTTAAATCAGAAAACTTTGAAAAGTGAAGTGGGCTGAGTTGAAATCTGGAGCAATTGGAATGTTCATTTGATAAAAGCCAGAATTCACTTTTGAACCAAAGAAGTATCAAGGACAGTTTTTATCAGAGACAGCTTTTAGTAGGGACAGCAGTGCTCAATACAACTTTTCAACTTACAAGCCAAGTAGCTTGTGACAACTTAGTAACTTAGTTACAACAATTTCAGTTTGTTTACTAGCCAAACTGGCTAGTTAGAAATAAAAAACCACTTGGGAAAACTGAATTTATTTTAGTCTGTAGCTAATTAATTTAATTTAATTTTGTCCGTTTTCACTGCATTAAGTTTTGCAGTGGGGAAGGACTAGAAAGGAACATAGAAACCATTCGTGCTAGTCCACCCTCCCACCCATCCCACCCCAGGGGAGGACATCCATCACACAGTAATCTCGTGTGTGGGAAATTAACGTCTCCTACCCCTAACCCTGCAGGAGACGGGACCTCCATTTATTCGTCCCTATCCGAGAAGACTAGAATATCTAACCATTTCTTGATGTTATAGAAAGGTAGCAAATTCTTCTCAATTATTTTAAGACCCTGAGTATTGGTCCGGCCGGGGCTCGAACCCTCGACCTCCCGCACAACAGTCCAGCGCTCTAACCAATTGAGCTAACCGGGAGGCGGTTAAACATTGCATAATTGGCTACCGTTAGTATCAAGTCCTGGACAGTTTTATCATTTGATAATTATAAGCTTGAAAATTTAGTTAGTTTATGCTGGTTTGTGGACTTATCCTTGTTCCAATTCCTTTGCAACCTAACATTGGTAATGGTGGCCGTGATCCTCAAACAGCATTACTATCTCTCTCAAATTCTTTTAGAATATTCAGATACCTCTGGAGATTAATATTATTGAAAACCATCAGTTTATGTGAAGGTTATGCAAAGTTTATAGTCTTGCATTTTTCAGGTTAAGTGGTTTATGCACCAGCAGGAGAAAACATATAAACTATTTTCAATGCTTGTAGAAGATCGTTTGTTCAGAGAGCAGTGGTACATTGTAAGTAATGTTTTTCTAGCAATCTTATCTTATTTTTTAGCTAAAGTTTGGTTGTTTGATTTAAAAATGCTAGCAAACTCAAGGCAGCATTCACTACCAGCTCACATCAGACATCATCCTGCCAGCCCTAAGTAAGCTATCTCTATTTAGGGCTTCTGACAGGGTGCTAGTAAAACATCTAAAATTGTGTAGGATTTAGGGGAAGAATGTACAGAAAAAGGGGCTAATTGTGTGGTGCAGCACAACTGTTAGACAAACCATGAAATTGTTCTTGCATTATTTCTTCAAATGTTGCTCATTATAATTCATTTAAGAAGTACACTAGTAATTAAGATTGTGCAAGCTGGGATGACATCTAGCTGTTTTGACAATTGTTTGGCATTGGCTGCCAGTGAAACTGCATCAACAACGATCCTGTTAACAACATGTCTCTTCCCTTAGGAGAGACCTAAAAGTTCTATGGAGCCAACATATGGTATCACCTCTGTTTGGGAAGCAGGTTATACTGGTAAAGGAATACTGGTGGCAGTAGTTGATGATGGAGTTGATGGTAGCCATCCTGATCTACAAGAAAACTATGTAATTTTTAATCAAGTAGCTTATTTATGTGTGTTGTCTAATGATTCTGAGACCAGTCTTGGCTAAAAGAATTCATGCGCTCTTCATATGTACAAATGTTCAATTCCCTTGAAATTCCATATATTCCAGAGATACGCAAGTTATGTATCACTTTTTCTTACGGTAACACACCTTCTCAGCCTTATTTAATCCAACATTTAAAAATGGCTAGCTGTGAAAATTCTCCTGCATCAGGGAGTTCTGGAACCTTTATGTGGTTGGTGGCCTGGGCAGCAATATTGTATGTGTGGAATACATCATGTACAGCTAAGAATCAAAGTTTTAACATTCCTGATACAATTTAAGATAATTTTGCTTTCGTTTTCATTTGACAAACATCTAGTTGAGTGGATGACATTGTCACTATGCTAACTTGTTTGTTTGTTTGTTTTTTTGTAAGAACTTACCGGTAAACATTGTTGGCTTGAAAAAAGATATCTTGAATGTTATTTGAGGCATTTTTCTTATTGAAAAACTCCATTTTCAAATTATATCTCAAAATGGTTAAGGTTGTAGAAATGCAAATTTCATGATTGTAGAGCTCTGCTCACTGCTTGTGACTCAAATACATTGTAATCATTAAATTTATTCAGCTAATGGTTGAGTGTCATAAGATTTGGGAGAACCTGATATAAATGAATTCTATGGAAAATACAATTATGTCACAACTATGAGTAAGTTATCACTAATGTTCTGGGTTCAAAGTTCACTTGACTGTTTTTTTTTCCACTGGTTTTTACAATCCTTCATTATATCTAATTTGTTCATAAGATAAAATCCATTGAGTATGGTTTGGAACTTTAATGTTAAGAAGGGTGCTTCTTTGTTAGTTTTGTTTATATCACATATAACTCACACAGTGTACAAAAGCACGCCCTTTAGAACTCTCAGGCACTATTCTGAGTTAACAAGAATTAACAAGAGTGCAGTATGAGTAGGAATATGATTGCATTTTGTCCCATTTGCTTCTTCAGGATTTATCCAAAAGTTTTGATTATGTAGATGGAACAGAAGCAAAATTAGGGAAAAAAGTACCAGGGTAAGTAACTATGCTTACTCACTTATGAAATAACTGAATTTCATTCAGCTTTGTTTCTTATTACTTTGAAAGTGTGAAAACTAGCATCTCATTGCACTATTTACATTGACTCACATGCGTTTGCATATATTAATTTTTATTTGTTATGCCATATTTTGATGAGCCTAAAAGGAAATAGTACACACCAAAGTGTCTAATGAGTTATTTATTATTCAACTACTTTTTCTTCTGTCAAGTATTTCTGCTTATTTCTTGAAGCTGGGAAAAGCTAAGCAAATGGTTTAAGTGTTTTTTGAAGTACCAAACAACCAACTGTACGATATTGCAAGATTTTTGTACTCTATTTGCTTGTTATTTGCACTCTACATTGTGCAGTTGGATAATAAATATATCTTATTAAACATTTTGTTGTGTAGTATGGCTGAGTATTTTCACGAGTTGTGCTGTATCTTGACGAGCCTTTAGGGAGAGTTGAAATACAAACATGCCAAATTGTTATTTCAGTGCAGGTGAATTTTCAACTGGTTCCCTGGATTACAAATACTGCAAGATATTTGTACTCGTTTTGAGCGATGAAGCACTGTTGGACAGTAAAGTAGTGTATCGAAATGTGTTTGAAATGCAAATTACAATAGAAATAAGATATGAACAAAGGATGAAATTGAACCACAACATCGACAAATTTTTTTGGACTGATTAGTTTATATCATTCATATTGAATTTGAGCATAGTCATTTCTTAGGGTTATTTCCATTTTATACACAAATATTTGTAATTCCTCTGTAGTCATGGAAATAGATGTGCTGGAATCATTGCTGGAGCAGCAAATAGGATATGTGGGAGGGGATTGGCTTACAACTCTAAAATTGCAGGTATTTCAATAATGTTATGTTATGAATCCTCTTTACTTGGTTGACTGGCTTTATAGGATATACAGTGTGCATGTTAAAAGGACTGGCAGCCTTTTTTTGTTATTATTCAGTTGATGCCTCATGATCTTTGATAGAAGTCTGACCTTACATGTAAGGATAGCAGTAACTGTTGTTATCAAGTGTCTGTTTAACTCCATTGTGTACATTTAGGACAGAGAAACCTATAAATCAGAATTAATGTCAATCTCCTTTGTCTCATCTTGTCCATGATCAGGAGTTCATATCTTTGATACCGATGGAAAGTCAACTGATGCAATCGAGGCTAAGTCCTTGGTTCATGAACTAGAAAGTGTTGACATTTACTCCAATAGCTGGGGGCCTGGGGACATGGGCTTGGAGATCGAGGATCCTGGACCATTGGCCAGTGCAGCCATAAAACGTGGTATAGACAAGGTATATGCAAATACTAATACAGTGCGGTAAGGGTAGGGAGGGAGGGCAGGGGGCCCATGCCCTTGCCCCCCCTCATGTAAAAATTAGTTCCTACTGGCTTGCAATACCATTTTATGTCTCAAGGATATAACACTTACAGTTGATTTCTCTCTCTACTTTGAGCGGGTTTAGTGTCTACATATAATTTGGATATATCAACAAAGTTGAAATGGTAAATTGGCCACCGTAATGATTACAAAAGCTGACGTTTCGAGCGTTAGCCCTTCGTCGGAGCGAATAGAGGAATTGTGGGTTGTTTTAGTGTCTACAGCTGCCCTAGGAGACTAACGTTATCTTGTTTCCATCACCTCGTTTGGTTCATTGCCAGACGTCCGTTATCTGTTTATGAATACGTTTTGTGGACATTGTGTTTCCCTGGTAGACATCCTCCCTTCCCTCCCTCCGAGAAGAGGAAAGAAGTAAACAAACAAAAACAAGATCAACTTAAAAATTAGGCGTACGTGATTTGTTTCCGGGCATGGTTTAAACTAAGAGTCGTTTTTCAACAGGGTCGCGGAGGCTTGGGTGCCATCTACACGTTTGCAGCTGGCAATGGCGGCCCAACTGGAGACAGCTGTGCATACAATGGTTATGTGAATAGTATTTACACCATCGCTATTAACGGTGTGAATGAAGATGGCACCAAACCAACGTACGCAGAAGAATGCCCCGGAATTATGGCCACTACTTACAGTAGAGATACGATCAATAAAATCGGAACAGTCGTAAGTAAAAGAAAATTTAAGTTTTCACCTAAATTCAGATTTTGTTTGTGTTGATTTTACAGGTTAACATTGTCAGCAAAGTCCATTTTTGGTATAGTTTGCCAGCTTGCATTTTATTCAAACACAGGTAACCACCGATGAAAACGGAGGGTGTGTAAGCGACTTTGGAGCCACGTCAGCGGCTACTGCCATGGCGTCAGGACTGATTGCGCTTACTCTGCAAGCAAAGTAAGGTTACTCAGATAAATGTAGATGCTCACTGTCGCGAATTTTTTAGTGTGGCAGGGGAGTAATCATGTAGTTACATCGCATTTATCTATTTAAGCTAACATTTTACGTGCCCTCTATTCACATAAAGCTAATAAACTTTACCCTTGTTAAGTAAACGGGACTGTGAAAATTGAGGTCTTCTTTTAGTTCCTTGTATCTCATCCCAAATAGTTTTTTCCAGGTTGAAAAATTGAAAATTTCAGCGTTCGATTCGTTGGTTAGTTATTGTAGTCATTTATGCAGCCAGCGCTTTAACCTTGTTGAGGCCGACATTGCTATTAAAGACAATCTCCAAGTGGAACTAGTTTGTTGAAGAAAGAAGAAACTTTGGCACTGTGGTTTATCAACTGAGTTGATTATATAAATTGGCCACCGTGAGGAGTTTCTAAAGCTGCAGTTTCGATCGTTAACCCTTCGTCAGAACGAGTGAAGGTTTTCTTATGTTTACATGACCCTTTTCTCTTTACAGCGCTAATTTAACTTGGCGTGACGTGCAACATATCATAGTCCAAAGTGCAAGACCAGCTCCAGGAGTCGCAGGAGTTCTTCTCAAGCGAGGACATTGGATAGAAAACAAAGCGGGTTTATTTGTTAGTAAGGTTTATGGCTTCGGACTTATGGACGCTGGAAGGATGGTCAGCCTAGCGAAGAACTGGACTAGAGTATCTCCGCAGGAGAGATGCGAGATTAAAAGCAATGATACGAATGTGTAAGTTAGGTTTTAAATGTGATGTGATATTAAAATTGAGGAGAACAAGTTTCTAATCTAAATTTCAAGTAACTCTGTGGTATCAGTTTGTTGTTTTGTTTTGTTCTGCTTTGTTCTGTTGTGTGTGTGTGTGTGTGTGTGTGTGTGTGTTTAGTTTTTTACCGATATTGTTCAAGACTTTTTACCATACCTCTGATTGTTCTGTTTTAAATTTTTTGTTTTTTTAAATTGCTCGTCTTAGACCAAGAATGTTAAAATATGCAATTCATTTACCGGAAAAGACACTGATATCGTCGTGAGCTTAGTTAAGCTTACTTGGCGTAAAACTAAAAGCTTTTCACTTTCAGTCCTATCCCAGGTTCAGCTTCAATGGAAGTGAAGGATTGCCCGATAAAATTCCTGGAACACGTCCAGATAAAAGTCAATCTTGATTTCCTTTACCGCGGAGATTTGTCCCTACAGTTGAAGGCCCCAAGCGATACAACATCTCCAATGACGCGACAGCGAAAATTTGATAATCTTCTAGGAATTAAAAATCTGACGGACTGGGTCATGACAACTCTATTTCATTGGGGAGAAAGTCCTATAGGAACTTGGGAGCTGAAAATTTCAGATTTTGACTTACGATACCCAAGTACAGGTATGTACGCTCTGTAACTCTCTCCTTACCCTCTTATTTTAGTTTAATACTGGCGATTTCCATCATAAATTCCTACCGCATATTTAGAGTTAACGAAATAACCATTCATTAACGTGTTGAGAAGCAGAGGAAATGATAAGGCACCCTCTCAGCTGGACTGTCCTAATTTTTTTGTGGTTGGGTTTAATTGTCATACTTCTAATTATTTTACCAGTTGACCAAGTCTTGAAAACGTAGAAGGTCTCTCAATGTCTCGCTTATTATCATTTACTATTTTACTACAGGCAGCTTATCAACACCATTTGATAAGTGATAAAGTATGTTCTGCGTTTTAGGGGTTCTTTATAGCTGGTCCTTGATATTGTATGGAACGACAAGCACCTCTCCTGTTGAGACGATCCATAAACCCCGCCCAACACAGCACACAAGAACAGCACAAAATTCTACTCTGAATGGCGATGATGACGGTGATGACAGTAATGACGGTAATGACGACGGTGATGATGATGACGATGGTGAGGCACTGGAGGTTTTGGCCATTTATTTCAGTTGGTTGCCTTATGCTGTATTTTAGGTAATCTTTTTTTTCTTCCTTCCTTTTAGTTGTTATCTTTGCTGTGGTGGGCGTCGTTGGTGCGTTGTCTGTGTCAGGGTTAATCACTGGCACTGTGATTGTCCTTCATCGTAAGAGAAAGAGACGAGAAAAAGTTAAACAAGGACCGAATAAAACGTGTGGAACAGAAGAGAAAGAATGTGAAGGAAAGATTCCAAAACACGAACAATGTAATGTGATAACCAGGATCTCTGATCGGAAAGTAACGAGCTCGAGTGAATTTATGGTGTGAATATTCCTAGACTGACTACCCTTAAGACTTATCGTCATTTTCGAGAATGGCCAATATAATTATCTAATAAGGAATTTTGAAAGTTTGATTGCTCTGCCAATTTATTTTGATGAATATAAGTTATTTTAGAAGAATCTATGTCACTGCAACAGGTTTAAGGTGCTTTTGTAAAAAATAGATTGTGGAAACTGCCATTGTAAATCAAAACTGATGCCGATTTTGTCCTTGATATATTTTATAAATGACTTCAGTTTTGTTGGCTGTATTTACTTTACAATAGAACCAAAGAAGTCATGAAAGCTCGCAAAAGTATGCTCAATATTTACTTTGTATATCTCTATTGTAGACGTTAGTGTTGAATATATTTGTACCTTGAATCCAGTTAGCAAGTTATTACTTGATCAGTGTAAAAAAAGAAAAGTTTTTTATAAAATAAGGAGGCTCCAGCCCGTAAAATGGGAAGGACATTCTGTAGAAGTTTATGGTTCAGAGTGAATAAATTATGAAGTATTTGATTGGTCGAGGGCATTCAATCAATTTACAATCAATATACCGCAGTTGGTATGAGTTATGCCAGTTTAGTTATATTTTCAAGTTTCCTCGTACCTGTTCTGTTCTGTTTTGTTTTTAAACACGAAACTATATTTGTAATGTACGAGTGTTAGCTGTGTTTGATTTTTGTTACCGCATATGAGTTTACTAAACAAACGAGCATGAAAACCTTCAAAACTCGGACATTCTTTTCGTTTTCTCTTTGAGGATTTTCATCTCTGCACTCGTTATAACAATGCAGATTACGGCGCTTGGCTTGTTCACAAACCTGTGTTTGGTTCTTCTAGCTACTTGCCTCATCGCACAGAACTGTGTGACACATCGGGATATTAACGGGTGCAATGGCGCGAAATTTAAAAGACCGAGACGACAAACGGCATGACAAATTAAAGAAACATTACCTTTATCAGGCTTGAGAATTATATAAAGGTAACGGAGTAGTTATTTTAGACCGTAATATTTATTTATACTCTTGTTTTGATTTACTTAATGATATATCTAAATTCAAACTACTAGACGAAGATCCCACTTTATTAAGAGAAGGCAGACTTACATGTTTCATTAGTTTACTCAAGAAAAAACATTCTATCGATAACGACACCAACACTAATATTTTTTCCAAGGGTTCACAAGCAACAAAATTTTATGGCCTTCCCAAACTACATAAGAAACGTGAAAATCACAATCAACCACCTCTTAGACCTATTGTATCCTCTATTGGAGCTTATAATTATAATTTAGCCAAGTATTGAAGTTCTCTTCTTGCTCCACTTTTACCTAACAAGTATTCGGTCACAGATTCATTCTCTTTTGTCGAAGAGCTCAGGAGTTTCGATCTTAACAACAAGTTTCTCATTTCCTTTGATGTTGAAAGTATTTTTACCAATATTCCTTTAAATGAAACTATCGATATTGCTGTTGATCTTATTTTCAAGCATAACCCTAAATTTTCGATCAAAAATCCGACCTCAAGAAACTGTTTTCATTCGCTACAGCTGAGACTCATTTTCTTTTCAATGGAAAATTTTATGACCAAGTTGATGGGGTAGCGATGGGTTCT